TTGCCAAGAAAGGTTGGATAGATAATCCTCCAGGTCCCTTCCAACCTAGTATTCCATGACTAATGCTATAGACAGAAAAATTTTACAAGGTGAAAGGAAAAAAATGATGTATTTCGAGACTTTTATAAATATAATGAAAGAAGAAGGTTAAAATTATCTTATGAGCAGCTAGAAAAATTTCTCAATGTAAACAAAAAAAATAGTGTTCAACATATTTCAATATTTATTCATATATTCATATATTCAAGCTCTATGTGCCTTACACAAGCATGACAGATTTCTACTGTATCAGTCAGAAATCTGGAATCTCTAGAGCAGTTTTTTGCTTTAACAAACTAGGATATTACTACAAGTTGCATCTGTAATAGGAAGACCAGACAAATAATGTGTAGACATGAATGTGCATGTTCTTTCAATAAAATAATTTACGATACTTTAGATATACATTTACTATACTTAGATATACTTCAGAGTATTGCTGAACAAAAAAAAAATTAATCAGGTTTTGTAATTAAAATTGGAAAAAGTGAGAAAACAAACTAAATATGCCTTTAATAAATGAAACCATTTTAACATATTTTCCAGTATTCTTGATTTGCAATGACTGAAACATTATATTTTCCAGTATCCTCAGTTTGCAATGACTGAAACAGATATTTTGCTAGTTCTAGTTCCATTCAGCCAGTCCTTTGTGCTATCCACAGCCTGTCTGCTGGAATACTATGAAGATGAAAGAGTAACATGAAAAAATAAGCAAGTATATAAATGCAACAGAAAAAAAAGATGTCTATGACTATTTATTTCACTTGCCTCAACAATGTTGGAATTTGAGATGAAAAATAGAGTAATATGATTTCTACTCATATCAGAGAAAAATCGAGGAAATAAACTTGACTGGAGACAGTTGCCATAAATATTTTTGGAGAAAATCAAATAGATGTGATTGAAAAAAAAAACCCCACCCAACCTGTTTTCTAGAAAATTTTCTAAATAAGCAAGTCTGGTAAACTCTTCAGTAAATGTAATGTACCACAAACAGTGTGCCACAATCCGGAGAACACAGCTTGAATGCTGGGAACAGAATGGGAGACACCTGAGATAGCTCTGTTAAATTATGCAAGAATCTCAGCTATGCACAGCAAAAGTGTCAGTGTCAGGAGGTGAATAACACCAAAGCAGTTTCTAAACACACACAACTAAACATATTTGAAGCAGGAGTTCTCAAATTGTCCCATAGGGCTGGCCACACTTTGAAGAGAATCTGGCTCAGTTTCACTTGCCATTAATGATCATATAATATCTTTGTGCCAAATACAGCAATTGCCTGCATGGAAAAATAATTTTAGGAAAGTATTTAATATGTTTTTAACTGCCTTGTAACAACAGCTTAGCAACTGAAAAGAGAGATGCCAACGCCTTGTTACGGGCTAAATCTTTAGAGGCAACCAGGAAGATTCTGTGGGTGGAATGTGTGCAGTGATTTGCAGACATGGTACCACCTGAGATATCTTTCTACTGTTGCATCCCCCTGAGAGAGATGTAGGATGCTGCCTTTGCAGATTTCCAACCATGTCAGCAAGACAGAATAAAATACTTCAGACATATCAGGCATATCTAAAGTGTTTTGGGGACCAGTGTCTCAACAGCTTCTGAAGTGTCTTATTTTTTTCTGCCATTTTCCACCAGAAAAACCTCTGTGAAGAAATGAAAATGAGCAGGTCATTCAACCTGCCTAAGCTTACCTCCCTAACCATCGTTTTCTAGTCTGGCTCTTAGACTTTGAGACTTGGACTGATTTAATGATTTTTAGATGCTTAGTTCTTAACAAAAGTCATGCTAAAAAATGTTCTTTGAAGATGGTTTGGAAAAACCCTCAGGTTTGGAAAAAGCACTGACCTGTGTAAAGTTTTTCATTGTCTCCTTAGTTTCATCACGTCTGCTATTGGTAAGTATTCAGCTTACAGGAGTTACTTTACTTTGGATTTGTGGAAAATACGCCCTTTTTCAAAAATAGGGCTCAACTCACTCTTGCCAAACCCTACAACAGGAAATGAAGGACAATGCATGGATGGGCACAACGGCCATTCATCTTTCTGGCTGGAAGCTGTGTTTTGGAGTTTCATTGCTTAGTGTCTGTCAGCACTTTCATCCTGGGGAATTTAAATTTCTCCAACAACGGCCTGACCTCAACTAAAAGTTTGCATATAAAGTATTAGAACACAAAACTATTTATTTTTTAATTAATTTTCCAAATGAGGTTAAATCTTCAGATATGAAGATATGTGTGTTACTCAGCATAACAAGAAGGAAACTATTAGCTTGGCATTTGCTTAATCTTGTGAAACATTTCTTTAAAAGGATAGTGAAATGAATACTTAAAATGGGATCTCAAAACCCACAAAATTATGTATTCATACAGGAACTGAGCTACATTTAATGCGTCTAGCTTTTCTATGCATTGTAATTACTCTACTGGCTTTGAGAATAACTTATTCAAAAACTAACCGTGTTTGTTCAACAGGTTTCCTTTCAGGAATGCTTCAGCGGCTGATGGATCACAAAAGGAAGAACCATGTCCTGTCTTTGAAGATATGGATAAAAGGGAAGTAATTGTTAATGATTTGCTCATCTAAACAAAAAATGATTGACAACATAATAAATCCTGTAATTGTGCAGTGTTCCAAATACTGCAATTTTAAACTGAATAGAAACAAATGTCAAAAGGAAGCTGAATGAGAGTAGATGCATTATACACTACAGAACCATATGTCTAGTAATAAAAGACATGAGAGGAAACTGTAAGAAACTAGTCTTCTGGAACTGCATACATATTGCAATGAATTTTTGGCACAATTAAGCACTTCATTCAAAACGCTGATTGAAGACAATGCTGAAAGGCCTCTCTCAGTGCAAAAGAATTACAGCTGTCCAAAACCACCTGTATTTTCAAGAGAATAGTCAGGAACTAGTATCAGTACAGCATGCTGTAGGCTAAAGAGCACTTCTGCAGGCTGGCAGTCAAATGCACTAAATGCTGAGTTCTGTGGATGTTGGACAGAACTGCTGTTGCAAACACACATATTTATAATACCAATGTATTACTTTGCTTAGAAAAGACTGAAAGGATCCTTGGCATATTATATGAAAAGCAAACCCACTGAGAATAGATTCTCTGATGTCTCATTCTTTCATGCATAGATAGGACTGCAGCCTCTTCTGGGGAAGCCACCCAGCTTGCCAGCTGCCAAGCCCTGTCCATCTCTCAGCCGCGTACCAACAGCCTTACCTGTCCTGCTCCTCCCCCTGTCCCCTCCTGGAGCAGCACCAGGGCTGGGAGCACGGCAGAGCCAGCCTGAGGGATCGTGTCTGGTTTGACATTGAGGATTCAGAGCGAAACAAAACAGGAGGAAACAAAACCCAGTAGGAGAAGCGAACTGAAGTATTGTTTTCCCACCGTACCTTGTAAGGATATTTTCAATAAGTATTAGAGGAACATCGTCATCACCACAAAATTGTTGGATCGCAGTGAAATAACGTGGTTCACTACTAGCATGTGCATTAAACAGAAGGCACGGAACTGACAAATGAATTAATTAGTTTTGTCACTACTCCTTTCCGGGCTTGGACAAACAGCTGCTGCAGATCACTGCTGTTCCCCTGTGCACAGCCCTGACCCATGGTTTGCATCCTTTGCCTGCAAGGTCTGAGGGCTCTACTGCTAAAAAGGTCCAAACAAGATGCGAGTTCATATAACCGGCAATTTTAACAAATTTCTAGAGAGGAAAATACGTGCATGCAAAGGTGTTCCAACATAAAGACTTGAAATACATTGAAATAAATAAACAAAAATGGGAAGAAGCTTAACAGCACAAACGCTAACTGTGTGAAGAGCTTTGCATTCGCTTTCCTGCAAAGCCGTAATGAATTTTTGACAGCCCCGGCGGCGGACCCCGCGGAGCTCCCGCGGTCCGCGCTCTACGCGCCGTGAGGCGGCTGATCCCTGAGACCCGTCCCTGACGGGGCCCGTCCCTGACGGGGCTGAGCCCTGAGAGGGCTTATCCGTGAGGAGACCCGTGCCTGAGGGGGTTCATCTCTCAGGGATGCTCCCTGAAGGAACTCATCCCTCAGGGGCTCCCGGCGCGGGACCCGCGGCCCAGCCCTGCCACACGGCGTCACGCGCCCCCCGCGGGCGGGGCCCCGCCTCCGCCGGGGGCCAATGGCGGCCCGGCCCCGCGCGGCCCCTCCCGCCGCCACCAATGGCGCGCGGGCGCTGGGAGCGGGCGGGCCGGGGGCGCGCGGCCGTTGGGCTCCCCGGGCCCCGCCCCGGTGGGCGGCGCGCGGCGCGCCCGGCCCGGCCCAGCGCGGCGGCGGCGATGCGGAGCCGGGGCGAGCGGAGCCGCGGGTAGAGGGAGCTGAGCCGCACCCGCCCGTCAGGCCTGGCCACAGGTACGAACTGCAGCCCCGCGGGGGTCCGCGAGCTGGGGAGGGTCTCGGCGGGGGGCTCCGAGGCGCTCACGGGACTGCGGTGCGCCGGAGGGATTTCCCGCGGGAGGGGTCGGCGGGCGAGCGAGCGAGCGAGGGGATGCGGCAGGTGCCGGGCTGTGGCCGCTCGGTCCCGGGGGCGCGGGGGGACGCCGGTTCCGAGGTGGCCGCCACCTCCCCGGGGAGCCCCCGGGAGCCGCTCCGCTTGCCCGCGGGGCTCCCGGGACAGGCGGCTCCGTGCGGACAGCGCCGAGCCCCCGAGACCCCCCCGCGGGCAGCGCCGGCCGTGCCGGAGCGGGCGGGGGAGCTCACGGTGGATCTAATCACGGCGAGTGCTCCGGCTTTTAAAACCTGCCGGGCTGCCGGGATTCGTTGCGCAGAGCTCGTTCTGGCAAGTAATGGATGTGACTGAGCCATTAAGGGACATCGGGCTGCGCAGCCGGGCTCTGGAGACCTATCAACTTCAATTTATGGGGTATCGGGAACAAGAGGCGTTTTTATGAATTGGCTGGTAATAACTTAATTCACCTGTGAGGCTAGCTCCTGTTAATGCCTACATTTGATCTGTGTGGAACAATAAATAGCTATTAATTTGGTGTGTTGCATGTGGAGAAGGTAGATGATATTTGAGGAAAGAGCTGGGAAGAGCAGTAGGTGCCTTTGCATGCTACTTGTGCACTTTCACTTCTGAATTCCTAGCTTCGTTTTACTTTACCTGTGTTTATAACAACCTGTCTTTCTGTGCTTCCATAGCTTTTAAATTTATTTGATTTCTTAAATATCTTGCCATATCTTTGCTTTTTCTTCCCTCTAAATAGACTGTAGAATAACTTCAGGGGCAGTAGCTTTCAGTGATCATAGAATCGGTAAGGTTGGAAGAGACCTTTAAGATCAAGTCCAAACGTGAACCTGTCAACACTATCACTGTAACCCCTAAAGCACTAAACCATATCACCCACACAGCACCAGAATTCTTCCCTTTGAAGAAGACTGAACAGTCTGGACAGTGCTGATCAACATCATTAGACCTCATGGCTATCTTTGGTGCTGAATTAAAATTTTGGTTTTTATAGTTAGGTTTTTTGGATGTGGTCTAGAGTTCTTATTTTAAGTTTATTTAGATCAAGAGCCCCATTTTAGTGTGACGTGTTGTTTTGTAGATGTTCATTTTAAAATATAGTAATTAGAATTTTGGTATTAAGTATTTTCATCCATCAGGTCCCTTTTATGCAGGGATGTTATATCTTGGCCATATTTATAGAAATATCTTACTTATTTTATTACTAGTTTATTTACTTAGTGAAAGTATTTGTTCTTAATTGATGTGGATGGTCAAATCTATAATCTCACTTAGAATTAACATTAGGATTTTGCTAGATGTCACTGTTTGGATTAAGATTTTTTGCATTCAGGGTGTGTGACTGTGTGCAGCTTCTAAAAGCTGTCTTAAAGCAACAGTTAATTTAGGGTTTGTGATTCAATCGTGCAGAGCTAGGAAATGAGTGAATGAGAGTCATCACTTTCAACTGTGCCAGTTTATTCATCTGTATGAAAATAAGTAAAGCAGTAACCTGTATGCTGAGGAGATGATTTAAATTATTTCAGATATTGACTAGGTTTGGACTTTATTGTGAATGTGTTTATATTTACATATGTAACTTAAAAGGAGACGGGAAATCCCAGAGCTGCAGATTGCTGTCAGCTGGCAAAGTACACCAAAGCATGGTTGCTGTATGTTTACTCTGTTCTTGTTCTCTATGCATCCACTAGCAGTACTTATTAGAAACAGGATACCGTGTCAGGTGGACCTTGAACCTGAGTTAGCATTGCGTTGCTGTATTTGTAATAAAATGTTTTCTGTGTAGGAGCACATCGTTAGGAAGTTAAATTTTAAATTAAGCAGATGTCTGAGCTGTAAGTTTTTAAGTGTACAGTATAAAAGTCAACACCAAGTACAGAAAAAGCAGGCTAAGGAATGTACTTTTACTTTGGAAGTTTATTTGCATTTTTTTAACATCCCAACACCTGATAGGAAATGGTCACAAGTATGTTTTCTAAGTGGCAACTTCCAGTCCTTTTTGGAGTGCCTTGTAGGAGTACTGTGCTTCTCACGAAGATGATAAATCTGCAACTCCCATCTTATGATGTTGCAATGTTGCCTTTCACTGAAACTCTAGCCTTAGTTCTGCTTTCATGCACTGAATCTTCCCTTTTTCTGTAGCAAGCACCTGGGCCACCCGTGAGCCTTTCATTTATCTCTAGCATGTGGAAGGGAGCAGAAGGGATCTATAAAAACTCGTTCAGTAGCATCTTCCCTCCAAACTGGTTCTTCATTGTTAAGTTTTACTGTGGAACTTGCTATGATAATGAGTAAAAGCAGGAAAAAAATCCAGTCTTGCTGCTAGCAAAGTGTCTGTTAGTTGCCTTCTAGAGTATGTTTTGGAAAGTTATTGCAGTGAGTTAAGCAAGTTTGACCATCTAGAACTACATGAATTATGTGTAGGAGTGATGAAAGCTTCCCACATAGTTGTGTTAATGCAATTTAATCCTAGGCTATGGTGTGTGTATTCTTTCTGACCTCATCTCCTACTTGCTGCTGGTTTTTGTTTGTTAAAGAAAAGATGGAGTATATTAAATTATGTCTTCCTAATTTTAGTCTTACAAGTAAAATAATATAACTGATTTTATTTATACCTGCTTTCAGTGGATTGTGGACATTTCTATCACAAGTTATATCATATACTTATCTAATACAGTACCTTGCCCTGTATTACAGAAATAGACAGGGCACAAACATTACTTAATGTACTTCAAATAACTTTTACACTGCAGTATCCTTAAAAGCCCTTGACAGCCCATACCACTAGCTCTGTCCCATGTCATGTTGGCCATATGGCAGGTCTGAGAACAGCTTTGATGCCATGTTTTTGTATTTTACTGAATCATTTTTGAGCATTGCCATGAGATGTTCAGTAAAGTTCTTTGACAAATGAGTTTTGAACGGCAGCAGTAGATGATAGATACGTTGACATGCTCTTTATTTTAGCTGACAGTCTTGCATTTAGGGGAAATCCATCAGAAATAAAAAATAAAGCATATCTGAATATGTACAAAACTTTGATTTCCTTGAATATCTGCTTTCATTATGCTTAACTACCAAGGAACCCCCATTTTGGTAGCCTAACAGATTCCATGTGTTCTTAAGCAGACTGGTCTTTGGGACTCCGGGTTTTGTCCTGAAAATGTTTTGCCAATCTACATTATAAATCATGGCTAGAATTAATCTTATCTCACAGTTGCAAGCTTTGAAGAAAAGATGAGTTGCTAATATTAAAGAGTTTTCATTCTGTTTAATCTCTTGGAATCACATCTTGCTACAGTGGCCAACATTTTTAATTTTTTTTTTTCTGGTCAGTGATGTAATAAGCCAGCAACAAAAAGCTCACGAAATGAACTCATTGTTTATGTCCTCAATGACATCAGTATTTAAAGAGAATAGTTCCATTAGTCCATAAACTGTAACTACAAACTATATTAAAGAGGAGTTATATGTAATATAAATTGGAGATCTGAGTGGTATTGTAATTTGCAGTGTGCAGAGGAGATGGTGACATATGAACATGGAAGGAATAGGCCTGCCTTGACCCTGTTTTGGCTGCCAGGTGTTTGCCATACATGCACCAGGGCTGCTCCTGCGTGTGTTCCATGGTCTGCTGCTCCAATTCTGCAGTTTATTGCCAAGAGGAGATGTGGGGTGTTCTCAGTTTGTAGGACGAGTAGGCAGTGCATTATGGACATTTGCTGGATGTTGGTGGGCACAGCCAGTTATGGTCTGGAAGTTATTGCTGACTTTCAAAGCAGAGTAATTAGCTATCATGAAGCAAATAAATGAGCATCTTTACTACAGGCAAGAAGTCACAAGTACTTAAGGGCTTCTTAATGTGGACTTATTCAGTGCAGTGATAGAAGGCTTACACCTAGAATTTTGTACCAGAATTTGTATATTGTTCATGTATAAAATGGGATTATACGTCTGAAGTCTTACAGATATTTATAAGTTAGATAAAGCTTATCTGTACACATTTTGAAATCATTATTTTGCTTAATTATAATTTTAAGACCAATTTATCTAGCACAGGCGTGGAGGAAGAATAAATAAGCAATTTGAAATCTTCTCTCCCCCCAGTTAAAATAAGTCTTTTGACTTCTCTTGTTTCTGCAGAGCTTCGTAGAGAATCAGATATTTGGCAGTTAACTACTTTAAATTTATTCTCCTAATATTTAGAATAAAAAATGCAAGTATATAGTATTTCCAATACTGACTAGAATGTTATGTTACTATTAGCTTTTCCCTTTTCTTTCAGATTCCATAGACTCTCAGCTTGACAATCTGAAAAATGCATTATCTTATACTGCTGTTGAAGTGAAGTTATCCAGGTAGGACTCCCTTGTGATGAATCTAGCTCATTGTTTTCTGATACTGAATTAGGCTGTTGCTTGTTTTCTGCCATCCTGAGCAATAAATAGATGTGCGTAGATCAATATTAAAGACCAAGAATAATTTTATATAATGCTTACTATTAATAAATAAAGTTGTGAAAGTGTTGTACCATTATGTGGTATAAGGACTATGTGCTATCTAATTGTTTACTGCTTTATTGTCTTGTAAAGATAGCCTCTTTCTTGAGTCAAGAATGACTAAATTTTCTTATGCTATTTCATCATATATGATAGGATAAGTTTTGAAAAAATAGAAAAGCATTACAAATACAGCCAACAGTTAGTGACCACTGACTTCAAAACATGTTGCATTATAAATTGTGTAGAAGTTTAGGCATAGAGTAAAACTGCTTCAGAGCTACTAATTGTGTCTCAGAATTTGAGAACACACACATCCATGTATAAAAAGAGCATAGAAAACCTTTATTGCTTTCATAATGTATTGTTTGGTGGATTGAGCCTGGTTTAGCCACTGAAGCTGTTCTGAAGAGAGGAACAAGGTAGTTTCAGATACGAAATGCAGAGCTGCTGTTTTGCAGACAATATGCCACGAATGCTATCTAAAGAAACTGACTTGACATTGCTAATTTTACCTGAGAGTGAAGTATATTTATTTCACACATCGTTGTGGCTGAACTAGAAGCTTCAACTGGCATATATATATATGTGAAGAAGGATTTTTGTGGTTTTAGAAAACACAAGTTCAGCTGATAAAAAGCCTTGCTTATTTATCTTGGTCCAGGACAGTTGGAAAACAAGAACTAAATCTGATCTAATTCTGAATCTAAAGAAACAGTCCTGAATTTCTCCAGAGATTTGACAGATACAGTAATGAAGATTTTCAATGGCTTAACAGATACTATGATAGACGTTTTCAGTGAATAGCTGTTCATGAGCAGTTAATTATCTCATTGTAATCTGGGTCATTTGGGAAGCTATGAACACAGTTAACTTCTGTGTTAGGATTGCATTGTAAGTGAAATGTGCATGTGGAAGGGGGAACGCCAGAACTACATCATCTTTAAACTAGCAAGGCTGGAGAAGTGACCAAAACCAACCTTTCATTGAGCAGCTTGCTGCCTAGTTAAGGTGAATGAAGGCTAAAGCTTAAGGAAGGTGTGAAATCTCTGCTCTAAATTATATGTAAAAACCCTTGCTCCTCCCATAATGCTTTCCCTCCTACCAGCAGAAGGCAGTTAGTGCTGCTCCCACCAGGACAAACAGCAGCCCTTTGTTAGCTGCCTTGCCTGGGGCACACCCTGTCCTCGCACTGCTGCTGTTCTCTTGCCATCTGGGAATCCCAGAGACCCTGAAAGGGTCCTTTTGCTGCCTAGTCTCCAAGGTTAACTGATTCAGTAAATCTGTGTTACTTCCAGTATACATCGAGCTAACCTGTAACTTCAGTCTCAGCATTTAATTTCCTCTGGGGATGAGAGCATCCATTGCCACAAATTGTAGGCTTCTTATTCAAAGATGGGTTACTTCTCCAAGGATCCAAATCTGTGATTTTAAAACATAAAAATTATACATGCTAGAAACTTTGTCTTGGTATTGAAGTTACACTACAAGTACTACAGCCTCCCAAGTCTGAAAGGGCCCTGCTTGAGCTGCAGTGCGTGACTCCCTGCTTCGAAAGCTTGTCGAGTGTTTGAAATGTGATACAGACAGTGACTTGGACCTCCTTCCAGCTGCCTCCACCAGTCTGAGCAAGGGTATCGAAATGGCAAGCAAACCTCAGAGGATAGAACTGTGAATGGCATGCTTTGAGCCAAGTGCTGAAGGGTGCCTCTGGTCCCTCATCTGACTGCTGTGAGAGTCATGTGTCTGCGCTGTGAGACCTGGCCAGACACCCTGGGTGCTTCCCATGGGAGACTGGCTGCCTTCAAGAAATCTTGATGGTTAAAATGGAGAGCAAAAATCATGTGCAGCAGCTGAGTACTGAGGCAAGATAGAGGTCAGTTGTCCAGCAAACACATTTTTGTATTGAATGTAGAAAAGACAGGTGTTTTCCTTTGTTTAGAATCATGACTGCAAGTTGCAAATGCAGATGATTGAATGCTGTTATAGTCTCCATCTGTTTAGAGATGCTGGAAGATGCTGCTTCTAGTGGATGATGGGCGTGCTGTCAGCCAGACTGAGGGAGAAACTGTCACTGGAAATAGCAGATTTCTGGGCTGCAGCAGTTAGATGTGCAAAGTTCTGCTGTGAGTGCCACAAAGGGAAGGATTCACAAGGCAGTTACTGGAGGAGGGGAGTTAAAAGGGACAAATTACAAGTGCCTTACGGGAGTCAAATGACCAGATTGACAAATGGAGAAAAGCTGAAAACTTCATTGTGCCAGCTTTAAAGACTTTTGCTTCCCAGAAGCTATAGAAACTTTTCTAACACTATGTACTGTACTAAACATTCTTAACTCCTGATTTCATGACATATACACTTATTATTTAATGAAGATTCCTCTCATTAGGGCCTTTTATTATACTTGGTCACATTGATACATGAAGATTGTCAAATACCTTCCTTTCCAGAGGAAAAAAAGCTTGGGATGGGAACAGAAGGGTGTTAGAAAACAATTCAGAAGTTTGTCTGAAAAGAAGACTCTTCAGCTGACATGGCTGTGGAAGATTTTAAATATTTTAGGTACAGAAAGATACTCTAGCAGAGTTGTAAAACATACGTTTTTGTAGATACCTGATTTAAAGAGTCACGTGCAGGCATTAATATGAAAAATATTTGGATTTTGAGAAAAAACAAGCCTACGCATTCCACACAGCACAGGAGTCTTAGGTAATACTTGTTAGGAAATGTTTGCAAACTCAGTAACCTTTTCTCACAGTAGAAGCTGGCTGATCTGCTAATTATATTTAATAAGTCATAAAAAACCAAGGGAACGCAAGAAATTTTGCCAAAAGCTCTTTTTCTTTTCGTATTTAGAGAAGAGTTGTCTGGGATGTGTGTGTGACCCAAGTCAGTTCTGGTTGGTTATTATCACCTTAACTGACTGAAAAAAAGTACAGAGAAACATAACCAATGTGTATAATATGAAGATGGGTCATCTCAACCCAGTAACTCTGTCCCCAGTGTTTCACTTCAGGCTCAGCACACCAAAGGTGATGGTAGCTTTTTCTTATGGTCCAAAGCATCCTGTAGGAAGATAGGTTTAGGTAAAAACTCTGTTTAACTGCTCTGTGAATAGAGGCAGACAGCAATTGTAACACAATGTTTAATTCTGTAGCTTTATTGTGTAGGTAGACATGTGTAATCGGTGATGGCTGTTGAATAAATGTCATTTCATTAATGTTGAATTTGTATTTTACTCCTCAGACTTTCAGCTTTATCACACTATTTAATGAATTCCAGATAGCTGTTTTGACTTCCTATGGGTGATAGCAATTACACTTGAAAGAAAACAAGAGGTATTCTGGTTTCTTTGTCCAAGGACTGAACTCACCATTTTAAGTGCTGCTACCTTATGTCAGGGAGTTAAATGTCTCACCTTATTAAATCACTCTGTCTTCTCTAAAGCTTTCATTTAACTTTGATATAGCATTAATATTTAAAACATATGTGTCAATTCAATAGACACATGCATTACTTATCAAAACACTGCAGCTTATTAAAACAAACCTGCTGTCATCACAGGTGAAAGTCTAGAGTGACATGGTGACATGTAATGCCAGGAGGTGTGTTGTGCATTTTCACAAGCTGTTCAGTTGGGATGGTGGATACTTCAGGAAGAAAAAACAAAAGTTGTGAATGCCTCATCCCTGGCAGTGTTCAAGGCTGGGTCAGATGAGGTTTTAAATAACCTCAGCCAGAGGGAGGTCATCCCTGCCCACAGCAGTGGAGTTGGAACTAGGTGATCTCTAAGGCCCCTTCCAACCCAAACCATTCTATGATTCTATGAAAAAATCATCTTGGTAATATGAATGGAGTATCTCCATGTTCCTGACAAGAAAACATGCATGCACATTAATATGGTCTAACACTAACAGACCATAGTAACAGGGAAGTATTAAGTAATTCAACCTTCTGTGTCTGGTCAGTGTATTTGTTTGAACAGTTTCTACTGTGTCAGCTGTGTTTTAATTGAGATTTCTTACATTTCCCCACATTATAAATATACAAATAATAAATTTAGTTACACTCAGTTGTCTAAAAGCAAATCTCCTCTTGTTTGTGATATTTAGGGTAAGACATTTGTTTAGCTGCTAATTTGCAGCTCATAAGGTCACTCAGCAGTGGGATAAAAATAAGAGTGTGTCTTTCTTCCAGTGCCTGCACAGGCGTGGTTGGAGTTGCTGTGTCTGTCTGCAGGATTCCAGCATGCTTCTGTTGCTCCTGGCTCCCAGGCTCCAAGGACAGTGTCCTCACTACAGAGGCCAGACATCTTCATCCCTGTCCTTGCACCGGGGTGCCTCTCATTCACTGACAGGTCAAATTCAAATGCTGATTTCTCTTATTTAGTGTGTGCATTTGAGAGGACAGTGAGCAAAGGGCTAAATCTTCCCTCTGTGCCCTCCAATTAGTGTGGGCTTTACAACCCATGTGCTAGCCATCACACACGAACGAAAAACATATTGTCACCTTCTTCCTCTCTCAACAGGGCTAGGTTTGGGTTCTGCTTTAATAACTGTTACTGTCTCTCTACTGTTATTTCTTATATTGTCTCCTGAGTAGTGGAAATTAAGAGAATATATGTCTTCATCTGTATATATTTTGCTGCCTTTAGAAAGAAATAGACCTCTGTAGTTCTTGGAATGCTTTTTAGAGGCATTAAATAGTATATTGTTCTGAATTAGTAAGTAATAATATGACCTTTTCTTCTTGAAAACTCATTCTTGAGTAGTATGCCAAGATGTTATCTCCCCACTTGAATGCTTGACTAGAGATCTGAGATTTGATATGGGTGTGTGTGACAGGCACACATAGCCTGC